ATAAAATGATAGGTTTCTTTTTTGTGAGTGTCAAACACTTAAATACACCATTTCGAAAGTCCTTTCAGAATTCTCTCTTTTAGAAAATAGTTAAAACTTCTGTTATACCCAAGGCTTTGATTATTTCATAGATCATATATACTTTGATATATCACCCCAGTCAATCCTCCAATAGTTTAAAAGATGCGTGTTAATCTCCATCAGTTATTACCAAAATACTGAGATAAAATTTATCTTCTAGTGGTACAGTTAATCTACACTTTATGAACTTCAATTTTATTTATCTATTGATTTCAAAGGATGTTAATTGTTTCCAAAAGTACCTACGTCTACCACAGGTGATGATAATGCTCTGGCAACAGACTTGTGTAGTAGTGTTACATTATAATATTTTGGAATAAGAGTTTTTAATCAAAATTGCCTCGGTTCAAAAATCTATGAGTATCAGTTATCTATCTATAAATAATAATGATAAAAAACGAGTGATTTTGTCTCCTATTTTTTTATAAATATACTAATATTTTAAGTTTTATAATGAAAGAATTTTTGAATTAAATGACATCGGTGTTTAATGCTTGTCAAAATTTGTATTAAATTTTGATTTCATATTAAGGATTTTATTTTGGATTTAATTAATTTAGATTAAAATAGGATCATTTTGCAGTAAATAACATTGAAGTAAAAGATAAAGTCGTAGATTTTAAACATAAAGTATACGATGATTTATTTTAACCATCTGTGCCCCCAGTGGCACAGCGGTATGTATGCGGACTTACAACGCTAGAAACTGGGTTTCGATACCGTGGTGGGCAGAGCACAGATATCCCTTTGTGTATCTTTGTGCTTAATTTCAAACTAACCATCTATAATTCATAAAAGTATTGAAACTGAGGTATTTCCTATTAAGTCATTACAACCCACAGATTTAAATAATAAACCATTAGGACTCTTCTTTTTTTAACAAAAAAAATATATTCAAGACTTTAATCCTGAAAAAAATTGAAATCTTCCTTGTAACTGGATTAATAACAACTTTATTGATTCTTTTCATAATCATATTATTACAGATAACTTAGAAGTTATTAGAATTTAGGCCCGGCATGGCCAGATGGTTAGGGCGCTCGACTCGCAATCTACGGGTTCGAATCCCCGTCCCACCAAACATGCTCGCCCTTTCAGCCGTGTGGGCGTTATAATGTAACGATCAATCTCACTATTCGTTGTTAATGAGTAGCCCAAGAGTTGGCGGTGGGTGGTGATGATTAGCTGCCTTCCCTCTAGTCTTACACTGCTAAATTAGGGACGGCTAGCGCAGATAGCTCTCGTGTACCTTTGCGCGAAATTTAAAACAAACATGCTCGCTCTTTCAGCCTTGCTGTTTGAATACAAAAAGGAAAATAATGCCTCTCTTAACCACAAAGAATATCAAAGAAGTTTATGGAAATGTTATGAACGTTTGTAAGTGTCAACGATGGTTCAGCAAATTTCGTTCAGGTGACTCTAGCCTTAAAAACTGTGATGGCAGGGTCCGACATGTTGGAATTGATATTGTTGGGTTCTGAAGACGCTTGTTGAGTCTAACCTAAGGCAATACACTCGTGAAATTGTATGTCTCTCATGAAAAATACGTAAACATCTTAGGAATATGTGAAAACTCCATAAACGAACAGTATAAAGGTGAAATTTTGCATGTGTCTGCGCAATAAATTAGTGAACTAACATACCAAATTTGGTGAAGATCCACTTATTCAGTACCATATTGTAGCAGAAAATCGAAAGTTTGGTAATATAAAGCTTTACTGCAGTACATGTACGCAAGCAGCGAACCCAAAATACTAGTAAAAGAATCTTCACTGCAGTACACATAAACATGCAGGGAAGCCAACAAAGTAGTAACGAAAGAATCGGCCATAAAATAGCTAAAATAAGACTACAGCGTTGACATTTTGCATGTATCTGCGCAATAATGCAATGAACCCATAAACACAGTTTGGTGACGATCTCTCAAAAGGGGGCGAAGTAGTGGTACGAAACGCAAAACTTACCATAACAACCGTAAAACGATAGTATAAAGGTGAAATTTTGCATGTGTCTACGAAATGCGTTAGTTAACCTACATAACAAATTTGATGATGATCCACCTATTCAGTACCATACTGTAGCAGAAAATCGAAAATTTAGCAATATAAAGGTTCACTGCAGTACATGTACGCAAGAAGTGAAGCCAACATACTAGTAAAAGTACTAGTAAAAAAGTGAACATTTGCATGCATCTGTGCAACGCACCATTGAATCTACATTCAAAATTTGGTGAAAATCCATCTACAGGGGGAGAGTAGTGGTATAAAAAGCAGTGGTAACAAAATATTCACTGCAGTACACGTACGCAAGCAGGGAAGCCAATACAGTAGTAACAAAAAGCTTCACTGCAGTACACGTACGCAAGAATAGAAGCTAAGAAAGTGGTAAGAAACGCAAAAACACCGTAAAAATCGCGAAACGAAGGATAAAATAGTGAAAATTTGCATGCTGCTGCGCAAAGAACAAATGAACCCACATACAAAATATGGTGAAAATCCATCTACAGGAGGCGAGGTAGTGGTACAAAACGCAGTGATAACATAAATTTTTATTGCTGTACACATAGCAAGCAGAGAATCCAACATAGCTGTAAGAAAAAGTTTCACAGCAGTGTGGAGGGAAGCCAACAAAGTGGTATGAAATGCAAAACCGACCATCA